TAGATATACAAAGAGTTATGTACAAGAATATGCAATATACAAAAGGTGATATATCCTATATGATAGAAATATATGCAAGATATATAAACAATAAGATATATCCTAACAAAGAGATATAGACAATGTATGTGCAAGGATATAAAACTAACAAGAGGGGTAAACAAATTAACTACAAATGTGATAGAGCAAAATGATCAACAAGCAATACACAATGGCGATGTAAGATATGAACATGAAAACAAGTGCGCCAATGCAATCACAAACAAAGGATATGTTTACGAGGTTCGGTCCCCACGACCTACGTCCCCGCTCCTCACCTCGAGGAGATCTCCACTATCACAACCGGGTTTTCTACGTTCACCCGAACAACGTTTACACCTCACAATACAATCACTATGTAATCACACCTCACACACTAAGTGTTGGTCCTAGCCCGTGTCCTCCTCCTCAAGTGCTCGGTTACAACCTCTCCCTAGGCACGTCAACCGACGCCACTCCTCTTGGATTCGACCCCGTCTCTCACCACACACTTCTCTCGGTGTACAAGTGTATTACAAGTGAATCCTCACAATAAGCACAATATAAATCAAATGATTTGTTCTCTAAACAAGGTGAGAACTCAATTAAGCACAACTCTAAGTCACTAATCTCACAACCCAAAATTATACTATGAATGTAAATACAATAAGCTCAATAGGTTGTGTGTGAACAAAGAGATAATAAAATCAACTAAACTCAATATGAACACAAGCTCAATAGGTTGTGTGTGATCAAAGAGATAAAACAATATAAACTCAATATAGAAATCTAGCTTATGGAAATTAAGATCAAAACAATAAATAGCTAGAATTGAGTTTAAGGAAAACTTCTCTATAGATCAAGAGTGAGAGAGAGATGAGTTGAATGCCCAAACACCAAAGAATGATCTCCTCAAGCTCTTGTGAAAGTTCTTCATAAACAAACTCTTGAAACAAACTTAAAAACCCTTAAACAAACTTGTAAAACTCTTTTTAAAACTCTCTTAAACATCCATGAGAAACAATGAAAGTTGAGGGTGGAGCTGCATCAATCTCCACCACCTGCGAAATCTCCTCTGTCGGGTTGCTCTCCACCTGATGAGAGCTGGGAAGCTTCAAGATAGAAGCCTCATCGAATGTGACGTCCCTACTCAGCACAATCTTCTTATCAACTGGATCCCAAAGCTTGTATCCCTTGACACCACGCTTGAATCCTACAAATATGGCCTTCCTAGCTCGAGGTTCCAACTTATCAGTTCTAACATGATAATATGCAGGGCAACCAAATACCTTAAGCTGGTCATAGTCATGTGCTGTCTCTCCCGACCACATCTCCATAGGGGTCTTCCCCTCAATCGCAGATGAAGGCAGCCTGTTAATGAGGTGGCTCGCATAAGAAAGTGCCTCAGCCCAAAAGATCTTCTCCAAACCACTATGCGCCAATAAACATCGAATCTTCTCCAGCAAAGACCGATTCAATCTCTCTGCCACCCCATTCTGCTGCGGTGTATGACTAACTGTGAAGTGCCTCTCTATGCCCTCGTCTCGACATAGCTGCAGAAAGGGGTCTGAGGTATACTCGCCGCCGTTGTCGGATCGCAACGTCTTGATCTTTCTCCCAGTCTGCAGTTCCAATCTCTTCTTCCACTCCACAAACAAATCTAGGACTTCACTCTTATGCTTCATGGTGTACACCCAACATCGCCTAGAATAGTCATCAACGAACGTGACGAACCAATGTCGACCACCAAGTGATGCCGTCTTAGTGGGACCCCAAACATCTGTGTGCACGTAGTCCAAGATGCCCCTCGTCCTATGAATGGCCGTCCCGAACTTCACCTTCGTCTTCTTGCCAAGTACACAGTGCTCACAGAATTCTACTTTACCACTCTTGGCTCCCTTCAAAAGCCCCTGCTTGCACAATGCCTGCAGTGACTTTTCACCTGTATGCCCTAGCCTGTAGTGCCAAAGTCTGCTCATGTCCGCCTCTGAAATCGCCGAAGCAACCTGGCCAATCTCGGTGCTCCCCTTCAGATAATATAAATTATGATTTCGGACTCCCTTCATCACCACCAAAGATCCCTTAGTAACCTTTGCTACAGCATCCTCAAAGGTCACCCTGAATCCCTTCGCCTCCAAAGCCCCCACTGAGATAAGATTCTTCTTAAGTTGAGGAACGAATCTCACCTCCTTCAGCTCACGGACTACTCCATCGTGCATCCGAATCCTCACAGTACCTATCCCACGAACGCCACAGGATTGATCATTTCCCATGACCACAACACCCCCATCGAGTCTCTCAAATGATGAGAACCAATCTCGCCTAGGAGTCACATGATAAGTAGCGCCAGAATCAAGCATCCACTCCGATGCATCCAAATGGTTCACCTCCGGAGTAATCAAAAGAGAAAAGCTCGAATCATCGGAATCATCGCCTTTCGCAACATTCACCTCATTGGCCTTCGGGCCCTTATTCTTGCTATTCTCCTTTTCTTTGACTTTCGGGCAGTCTCTCTTCCAATGTCCCTGCTCTTTGCAGAATGCACATTGATTCTTTCCAAGCTGGTGACGACCTCTTGACTTTGACCTCCCTCTGTTTCCACCTTTCTGATATGAGCTTCTACCTCTCGCCGACAAGGCCTCTCCTGAAGTACTAGCGCGGGAAGTCTCCTTATCCTTCCTCCTCAAATCATAGTTCGTCAATGCGTTAGTCACTTCACTATAAGTGATAGAAGATCTCCCGTTCAGCAACGTAAGCACGAAGGTATCATACTCCTCATCCGGTAAGGAGCCCAAAAGAATAATAGCCTTGTACTCATCTGTGATCTTCTCATCCACGTTCGCCAAGTCCGACAACAACTTAGTGTAGTTGTTCACATGAGCCGCAAGCGAGGTACCTCTGGACATCTGAAATCTGAATAATCTTCGCAGCAAGTGCAACATGTTCTCAACACTCTTCGTGAGATACTTATTGTTGAGAATTTTCCACATCTTCATTGCAGATGTCACCCCAATCACATCGTATTTCAGCTCCTGTTCCAAACAGGACCTGATCACCCCGCAAGCATTTCGATTCATCTTTTCCCATATCGCCTCTTCATATTTAGGTGGCCTCACATCGACCATGATGGTCTCCTCCAGATTTTGAGCATTGAGCGCATCCTGTACGTCGCTCATCCACAAACCAAAATTGATCTTGCCGTCATATTTCACAACACTAATCTTAGTGTTCTGAAAACCCACTTGAACTGTGCCTGTCATCTTGCTGCTTTCACCAATTACTTCACCCATAATCACAACTTCCAAATTGTAGAGAAAGATCCAAACTTTGAAAGAATAAGAAATTACCCAACTGAACCCTAGATTGGATTCCAAATAGAACTCCTAACCACACGAGGAAAGCGAGATCTTCAACGGCAACTTCAAACCCTAACTCCACCAAAGCCTAGAACTCCAAGAACCAAGCTTCAAACTGAATCTTCCTCCATGCACCCACCATAGCTAAGATATAAGCTGAGCTCTGATACCACTTGTCGCGCGCCTATGCGGAAGCCTTGCACGAACTCACAACGAACCTGTGATCACGAGTAGAAGAAAGCCAAACTCTTGCACAAATCAAACCAATAACGCCAAATTAATCCAAACACAGAGATATACGCGGTTCGGCAATTTGCCTACGTCCACGGGGAGAGGATGGGGAGATTTCACTAATTCAAGGAGAGTACAAAGGGTTACAATCACACAAGAACTCTCAAACTAACCCTCAACCAAAGATCTCACCTTGCCCACAATATCTCCCTCTCACAATGCTCAAAAGATTCCTTAATCTCTGATGTTTAACCCTAACAAATCGTTTCCCTATTTATATCAAAACAAAAACCCAATCAGACTGCAAATAGGAAACCTGATTCTGCAAAAAACCCGCTATAAGTCGACTTAACAGAGTGCACAAGTCGACTTGGCAGAGAGAAAAACAACGAGTGGAGATGAGATCGTAAGTCGACTTATCAGACATTATAAGTCGACTTGGCAGAGGTAAAAACCACAACTCCGCTGCAGATCGTAAGTCGACTCATGCACACTGGCAAGTCGACTTACCATAAGTCGACTTAGCCTTGTGCATGAGTCGACTTATGCCAGTTTTTCTGGTTTTTCTGATTTTTCCACACATGTCTTACAAGAACTTATCTTTAACAACTCACTGAATTATGAATCTTCTTGTCCATCTAGGGGGTTAGGATATTTTATCTTCCACTAAATTATCAACTATATGTTGCATAATATAGTTATCCATAACAATAACAAACATTCTAACAAACATGAATCAAATTGGCCTGCATAAACTTAAAGTAAATAATTGAATGAGATACAAGTTTGTTATGGATAAGCTTTTTCCCTTAACAACATGAAATAAGTATTTGACAGCTGGTGATATTCCTTGGTGACAATTTCTAGAGATGCAGTGTGTAGGAGCAATATAATTTGAGTTTCCTTTCATGGATAATCCAATCAACTTGGCCTTGAATACCAAGCTTATGTACATGCTGAAATTTGTAGCTTCTCACACTGGCTAGCACTTATACTCTTGATGCGGTGATATGAATTGCAGGTCAATTGGTCTGCATTGGGAAGAATAGACTATATGTTGCGTGATTGTTCTGTCTGCCAATCAAAAATTTGTTCTTTCTTGGACAATGTTTTTGCCCTTTAGCTTTTCTAATAAGAAAGGTGCCTCAGCTGTCTTCTTGATTGAAATATTAACCCTCTTGACAATATGTTGAATAATTGTTGGGTCTGCCAATCAACAATTTGTTCTTTCTTGGACGATATTGTAGCCCCTTAGTTTTTCCTATAAAAAAAGGTGCCTCGGTTGTATTATTAAGTAAAATATTAACTCCCTACCTTCCTTTTCACATTTTGTTTATGATTGAATAATCATTCTTTTGTAGCAGCTAGCTTCCGACTTTTTGTCAAATTATATATTTCTGGCTGTTGGAAGGGTTGGGTCTAGCACAGATTTAGTCACCCAAAGAGTTGAATATGTTCCGGATATGGATAAGAGAAGCCACCTGATGGATCTTCTCCATGTCTAAAAAGTTAATGGATCTAAAGACAAGGTACAAATCGTTGAATTGCATATCTAGGGAAAAGATCTTCACCATTTGTCATTCGCCTAAAAAAGCAATGTGCATGACCTTGATCTGATATCCTTGTGTTGTCCTCCAGCAAGCTTTAACCTTGGTTTTTGTGGAAACAAAACGAGGTGTGGATTCTTTAGAATACTGGTTATCTTCTAATGGCTTCCTTGCAACAGCTATACATGGAGATCGTACTCAGCCTGTAAGTTATATTACATTATTTAGCATTTCTACTTGTTATGTTTTGTTTTACTCCCAGCTTGTATGTTATAAAATCAATGCGCATGACCTTGGATGACTTGAGTCTTTGATTCAGTGTCTACTTATGACAATACTTATATCAATTTACAATACTGGCAGTTACGTTTGACTTCACTTACATTATTATTATTAATAATAGTAATCACCTTTAGTTCACAATTTCAATTTAGTTTTTTATTGTATATGCCTCAGTTTTGCATAAAGTTTTATTTGAGCATTGAAGCTCTGGATTTTTAGTAAACCCATTTGTATAGTTACGATACTATGTTTTAATAAAGTACTACAATTTCCATTTTGCAGGATATGATATCCTAATTTTATGTCATGAAATGTTAGTTAGTTGTCCTTTTTCCTGATGGTATATTACTTTACAAAGGAATTATATTTATTTTAACGAAAGTTTGAGACTTGTATAATGATTATACTTGAAATGAGTTGCTCAAGTTGGAAATTATATAATCATTATCTCAACAAAGAAATTACATTTTATGAGCTTTCCAAAAGAAAATAGCTTACAGATGAATCCTACCCATGAATCCCTCTCTCTTTGATAACGCTCAAATCCCTTCGGTCTCCTCGCTTCAGTTTCCTCTGTTTCTCAATGACAGCAAACTCTCTAAATTCATCCTTAGTTCTACGATCGACCTCCTCACATCAATTCCTTCCGTTTTCAATCGTTGGCAATGTTGCGTCCTTCCCTCATTATCGTACGTTACTATAATTGGTAGTAATTGCTAGGGCTTTCTAATCCATAGCAATTATTTTGTGACTCTATAAATACGTTATGCCTCAATTTTGATGGAGCAAATAAGGTTTTTGTTTCCAATTGTAATTATGGGTATTGGTAATTTCTTATTCATATTCTTCGGCTGTTTGTTTGATGGCTTACCTTTATTTTTTGTATTCATGATTGTTGCTGTCAGGTGTATGGGATTGATAGGAAGTGTAGAAAGCTATCAAGGTAAATTAAAATTTTATTTATCTCTATTATGTTGCATGATCAATTTTATATTCATTTATGATTTATGATTATGGTTATGATTATGATTATGGTAAGATATGGTTTTCACATCACATATTTAGAAAACATCATTCTCTGCAGTATCTAATAGGAGATTTCTTACAGTCATTTGACTCAAATTCCTTTCTCATGCAGAACCGTTTCATTGTTGTTGGATCAAGGACTCAAAGGTCATGAATGTTGTCTCTTCCACCGACTCTCTATTGATTCAACAATATGTAAGTGATGGGGTTTTTTCTATTTTGGTTCTGTATGTTTCTTCAGCATCTGTTGGCTTGTTTATTTGACAACATAGCACTTGTTTTGGATAACATCTTTTTCAGTAAGCGTGATGCATCTTGTTTCCTGAATTGTAGCCATAAAACTAACTACACCCATTTCATTGTTGGCTAAGTTTAACAAACTATCTTGTATCTACTAGATAGCCATATTGATACAACGGAAATTTCTATTTACAATATGTTTAATAAATTATCTTGTATGGTCTAGATAGCCATATAAATAAAAAAGAAAGTTTTTAAATTTTAACTTTAAAATATTTTATCAGATATAAAATTGAAATTTGATAACCCGAGCTTTTTATCTTTATCTTTACCACCATAAGAGTGCAGGTGCATTCTGTAAAAAAAAATGCCATGGTATTATTTTGCAGAAAATGAACATCAGATATGTTAGCCGTAGTGATGATGAAAATTTAAGGCATCATTGTGTAATTTAGTTTATTCTTTTTCGAAACCAAAAACGTGTCATAATTCGGACAGTGTATTTCTATGTGTGCATGAATGTTTGGGTATGCATTTCCTTTTGTGAACAAAGCTTTAAGTGTAATAGGAAATTCACAAAGGTGAAAACATGCCTTGGAACCTCCAACATAATCCCAACTGTTCAGTCTAATCTCAATACCTATGCATGTTGAAATCAAGTAGGTTGAAAACTTCTAGCATGTGCAAACAATCAAACATCAGCAACTATCAGAACCACACACAATGATCTATTTGGGATTATGATGCTCAGTGCATACATTTTCAAATCACTTCATTTCACTTTCCCTCTCAAGGTGGCAAGTTACATCCCGACCAAAGGTTGATTTGGTCGGCTTCATTTAAGACTTTGGGTTAAGCTTCTGCTAGCTGAAAAGCATAAACTTTATTATTCTTTGAATAAATAGACCATGGCTTAACAGCACCTTTGTCTTTGACTAATCAGGTCCTTTTGTTTATTGGAAATTGTACTGCCAACTTCTTCGATCTTTGGTTATATTTCAATGGTTTAGTACCAGCTTCCTTTCTGCTTATGTCTGGGTATTGATTGTTGGGCTGTAGACTCAAGACATGTATCAGCGAATTGAGCAATGAACATTTCGGCCATTTGCTTCAAAGTCTCAAATTGTACGCTGTTCAACTTGGTTAAAATTAATAGTGCATAAAAACCGAAAAATGAAGTGATTTGAGTTCTCTCGTTCATGCATCAAGTTTGCACAAAATAGATGGGCAAGTAGAAAGAGTTGGATCTATTTTCTATTTTGTATAAAACCCACAGATGTTCCTTTCCCTGTCCCTCCTGTGTATTTGTTTTTGGTGCGGGTGTCTGTGTGCATTTGTCTATGTCTTAACTCATGCAAGTATATTATTTTTCTTATTTTTCTTTTATTTTCTTATATTCCTTTTTTCGTATGTTAATTTATGTTCTCTTTTCAAAATTTTCAATGTTCCTGCACTTCAGACATTCTAAGCACAGAGTCTGAAATGCGCTTTTTGCTTTAACAATGGGATTTGTCTCATCACTTGCCCTTTAATATCCCATAGAGTATCTCCTTATTTCATAATGCACTCTATTTAGATGCCATACAGTACCTTTAGATCCTTTAGTACTTGTTTATTTTTTTATTCTAGAGAGAACTGGACCTTTGTAGATGAAAAGCCATGACCTTTTATAGGTCTTCAGTATAAAATTGAACAGTTGTTACCTTGAACAAATGCATAAGAGATGATACTAACTTTATATTTTCCTCTTTTTTAAGGTATAAAGATTAAGAACAACCAACAAGGAAAACAAGGTACAGTTCCTTTTCAAAAGTAATGGTTTATATAGTTTGTGTAGTATTACAACAAAAGTTTTATTAGTGGTACAATTACTATGTTAACTTATGTGTATTATCTTCCTGCATTTATGTTTTCAATGCCCACACTCGTGCAACATAAGATGCTTTGATTTATTGAAATACTTTGTCTGGATTTTGCACATACTTACAGGTAGCTATAGTCTTGCTATAATATATATACTGGTGAGTGTAGATAATAATACTATGTACTGTACACCCTTTAAAATATGAGCTTTAAGTTGTGATCTCATAGAAATCCCATGATAGCAAAGTGCCAAGTTCTTAAGTAAATTGAATTATCCAAAGGGATTTCAAAATATGAGCTTTAGGATGGGATTTCATAGATGACAAAGAGATGATTTTGCCTTCTCAATAAATACCTGGAAGGCATCTTGCATGGATGAGAACTCATTGACGTTGACATCCTTGTATGAAGAAAATATCTCCATGAACTGGAAGAGGTGCAGTTTTATTTCTCACTGTTAACAGCATTTGATAAGTAAAATATCTCCATGAACTGGAAGAGGTGCAGTTTTAGTTTACATTTCCTTCACGCTTCACTATTTGTTAGATCAGTTAATGTACAGAAATTAATAAGAAAAATGAAAGCTCAAAGAAATATGGGTATCATAGTTTCCATCTTTCGATAACTCTGATTGCATCAGCTATAAGACCAAATTAATAATTCATTTGCAACTGCAGAACTATATTAGTTTGTGTGTTTTGTTAGCTTGAAAGAATTAAAAGGGTATCAACTTTGAAGCTACATTTAGACATACACGTCACTTTCATACTTCCAACATAATTTGATTATGCATCACATATCAGATAGGATAAAAGCATCATATCTTATCTGATTGAGAATTGGCACCATTAACCTAAATCCATATTTGTCAACTTGCAAGTACTCCCTCAAATTTTTCTAGAAAGCAACTATACATATTAGTTGATTTCCTCCATATATTAACATTTTGTTGGGCATATGGGGGTTAGTAGTTTATTTTTAGTGCTAAAAAGAAGTATCTAATGCTAATTAGGTATTGATAATGTCGAGTATGATTGATATAGGGGCCATTTGGATCTAGATTAGATAATAAAGAAGACAGAGCACTTCAAACGAAGCCGTACATGAAAGCCTCCTCACATGCAACTCATGCCATTGGGGTTAGCTCAGTGCATTGCTAGCACATTTGTTATTTGATTTCCATCAAGTTGTAGATGGGCTACGAGAAGCTGAACTTGCAAACTCATTCATCGGGACTACCAAGAGAGGAATCGGGCCTTGCTATTCGAGCAAGACTATCTGTAATGGGATCAGGGTTTGTGATCTGAGGCATATGAATACCTTTCATGATAAACTCGAGATTCCGCTGAAAGATGCAACTTTAAGGTTCTGAGGTTTTAAATATAGCAATGATATGCTTAAGGAGGAGGTTGAGAAGTATAAGAGGTTTGCGGAAAGACTGGAGCCTTACATTGCATACACTGTTCATGTTATGAATGAATCCATTACTCAGAAGAAGAAAATATTGGTAGAAGGTGGACATGCCACCAGATTGTTCAGAAGTTCTTGTAGAATGTTCCGCATGATTCATGTGATCTTCGATTCCTTCATTTTGATCAGAGTGTGATATTGTTTCCTTGCTACCTTGAAGTTTTAAAGAAACAACTGCTTCGATTGTTTTTTCAGGTGCAGCTGTTTTTTTTTTGAAATTGATTACAACATTATGCTGCAAATTCTCTTGACAAGGATATTCCAGGCTTCAACTCTCACTCAGTGCAGTATCTGATGATTCTCTAGGGGAAGTTGAGTGTTGTTCCTATTTTCTTCAAATGTGAAATTGTCAGGGGATGCAACTGATGTTTGATGTTCATTAGTCTCTAAATTTGCACAACAGATGATTTATAGAATATATACTTTTTTATATATAGAAATGAAAGTTTCTTAATATATTCAAGAGAAAGCTTTGTGTTATAGCATGCACTTGTATCATATATTCTATGCGAAAAATGTATTTAATAAATAATAATTGTAAAATTGATGAGTGAAAAATTAACCGACCTTCAAATATGTAAACTGTTGTTGTTCTTAATATGCATCACGTGCAACGCACATGTGGCATACTAGTACTATTATAAAAGTGGATTGGCATGCTAAAATATTTCTTCCAAAAATGTCCTCCAAACCACATACATACATACATAAAACACATGCATATATACATATAAACACATACATATATATGCATACATTCTAATAATGTCATAACTCTCCTATTAATTGTCCACTAATATTAACTTCTAATTTTTGTAACCCCTCCACTAATCCAATATTAATGTCATCATTATGATAAAGGTACAAATTGTCTCTAGCCCTTTTGTTCTTCACTTATAAAAAATTGAGGACATACATTTATTATTTTGAAAATTATTTCCATATTCGGCATCAAATAGAAAATAGAACTTGGAGAAAAAGGTTGCAGAAGGGAAGAAAAGACAATCATCACAGGTTAGTAAAAAGGTAATCATAGTTTATACTATTATTATAATTTACTTATAGCTTTTAAAAATAGTATTAGATGGTTACGTAAAAACTTGTAGATAGTAAAAAGGTAACTACATGATTTTCTATTAAGATGCACTGGAGAAGGTTGAGGGAGAGTAGGAGAGATCGATGTTCATTATCCAATTTTCAATGGTTTTTGTAAGTTATATAATTTTTTTTAAATGAGTGACCATAAGTATCCAATTACGTTAGTTTATTTGATGTTAAATAAATATCCAATTTTCTTTTACTACTAATATTTCAAGTTGGGAGCTTCGTGATTACATTTGCCATAGTTCATATTTTATTTTCATCCATATTTCAAGTTGGGAGCTTCGTGATCACTATCGCAAGTCGGCAACTCTTTCGATCGAAGTACGCTCTGGAAGTTAATGCAACTCAACAGACTACAGGTCAACTTGAACCAAGAGATTAGCATTTTCCTCTCATTGATTACATCTTATACGACATACTTCCCGAAGACATTAAAGAGCAAGAGTCTATTCGGAGACGTGCACCAAGGTTCTACTATAACTCGTTAACGAAGATGCTATATCGTAGGTCGTATGATAGCATGCTACTACGATGTCTGTCAAGAAAAGAAGCGCAAGAAGCCCTAAAGGAGTCCTATGATGGTATCTGTTGAGCTCACCAACCAAGACCTAAACTCTGGGATCACTTGTGAAGAATGAGATATCACTTGTGACGTCCCTGGTTTCACACATGGCTGCAGTCCAAGGTGAACCCAGAGATGTCAAACCTATCATGCATCCACACTGTGCAACAATAAGTTTCACCAATTACAGCAATATCCTCATCCGCCTTCTTCCTATTTTCTTGAAGCTTTATCTGTCTAATACTCTTCAAATCATCATGCATCTGGGAACATCTGAACTAAATGTGACTCTTCTCTCCATAATAATAGCACTCATTTTTGCTGTCGTCTCGGGCCTAAGATTTTGACTTTTCTCGATAACTGTCACATCTTCTCGTACTCCTCCCTCGATTAGAACCTTCAAAAGCTAGTGCACTCTCACCACCATTAGATGCGCTCTCCTTTCTTATCATTCTTTCATTCTCACGTAAGAGTGTTGTCACATCGTCGAACTTCAAAGTCTGCTTCCCTTTAATTATCATCTAAACTAACGGCTTGTATGACTTCGGCAAGGAAGACAATAGGAGTAGCGTCTTCTCTTCTTCTTTAATCTCCTCATCAATATTCATAAGTTGGCAAACTAACTGATTAAAGGCATTGATGTGGTCTTGAATTGCAGTACATTCTTCCATCTTCAACGAATAAAGCTCCACTCTTAAACACAATCGGTTGGTCATCGATTTTGACACATAAATCCCCTCGAACCTTTGCCACAGCCCTCTTGGTGTGGTCTCTTGCATAACATTGTACTTGATCTTGGGGACGAGTGACAAATGAATTGTGCTAGCCGCTCTCTTTTGCATAGAACTCGATTCAGCATCCTTCAATCCTTCAGGTTTCTTATCCTCTAAAGCTTGATCAACACCCTGCTATACAAGAATATCTTAAACCGTTGATTGCCATACTACAAAATTTATCTTACCACTGAATAGCGGAATATCAAACTTCGGACTCGAGGAAGTCATCATCCTCTAATTGTAATTAAAATTCAAATCAGTTACTGTAGAGATTGAATTTGATAAATCCGATGTCAAAAATAAACTCAGCACGTCGAAAAACCCTAGGAATGACTCCTGGATCACTAAAATCCGCCTCCAAATCCTCGATCAAAAGACAAATCAACCTCAACCGTCGGATCTATGTGAATAGTGCCCGCTATAGTTTTTCGTCGCTACAGTAACATTTTTTCTCAATGTCGATCATCACGCTTCGACCGCTGACACCTTCACGAATTGTGTACCGATCAAACATCTACGAACCGTCGAACCCCACTCTGATCCACTTGTTGGAATTTTTAGATCTCGCAAAAATTCTGAAAAGCCATCAAACGTAATAAGTAAAATCACACAAGATTTAACGTGGAAACCTCTCAACAGAAAAAAATCATGGGATCAAAATCAATCCACTATCACCTCTAAATTATAATATTTTGCACGAACAAAGACTGACAAATCCTCTCTCTCTCTCTCTCTCTCTCTCTCTCCACTTCTTCTTCTTAGTTTTTCCTCTAACAATAGAAGGACATATATAGGGAAACCAAAACCCTATCTCTAGCCTAACTTCTAAATTAGAATAAGATTCAAACTCCTAGTCATGATAGATCTCTAACCCTATCTAATTCTCATGAAGTTATACAAAGAATTAAAAACACTATACTAACTTGGAGTTTGAGTCGATACCCAACATAACTACCTTTGACTGGAGGGAGATTTAGTATTAGAAGAGGCATATTCTAACCTTGGTTCATCATCATAACGCATTCTCACTTTCCAGATAGACAATTTCTATTGTTGATTGAATCTAGCTATAGTTGAATGGGAAGTCTACTTCAGATCAAGTACATCGGTATAGGCCATTGCTTCTAATATCCTGCTTTTTAAATCTTGGGACAAGTTCATCGTCTGATTTTGAGGGATCATATGCTAGCAATGTTGGACTGGGAGAGTATGTTAATATGTCTCCTTGTCTGGGTAAGCTTCCACACCCCTATTTGTTATATTGTCTCATCTCCTACTAAGAGAAGCACCTCTTTCAGATTGCAGGATAGCGTTAATGTCACCCCCTAGTCTTCCTCGGGTCAGACCTTGACTAGCAGCAACCTTATGCCCACAATTGTTGTGCAAAGGCTCATTAGTTCTCCATGTCATGTTGATGGTGACTATCATCGGGTCATTGTGTTGGCTAATCCTTCTCCTGTAATACTTGTGTTTCCTCAAAAGGTTTGTACTTGTACTTCCAAGAACTAAATGATAATAGTCTCGACGAATCTACTCTTAGCATATGCCGCTCCTCATTGGGAGGTCCAAGTTCGTACTCCTAGACAGGAGATCAAAGTCCTTGCATCCAAGAAGTCCCTCGGGTCATTGAGGGGACTGGGCTCCAAACTTTTATGAAAATAATAGGTATTTGACATTATCCCTTCCGAGTTCAGGATTTAAATGTCACCTTTGCCCTTATGTGAGGTAAGAGCTTCACGCGGAGTAAGGATTTTATGCGGAGTTCTACTCATGCGATGTTGCTCCACCTCTAGCTCACTGCTGGAATTTACACTGAGTTGTCTTGAAGGCACATGAATGTTAGCCGTGAACCTTCCTTAGCTGAGTTCAAATCATTGTCTTCCTCATTATGTAGGGTTAGTTTGAGTCTGTGTAAACTAGGCCTACATAAAGCAGACTTAGGTCTTGAGATAGAGATTTTTCAACTCTTTCTAGCTGCGTTTTGGCGATGTCCGCCTTCCTCCAAAAACCTCTCATACACTTCCTAGTCAAATCAGATGAATAGGCTCTTGATGATGGTTTGGGGGTAACCTCATCATATTGCAACATGATGCTCTCATTCGAAGAGAACACCGGTTCCTTCAGGCATGCCATCTATTTTTTGCGCAAGTCAGACGATGAGAACATCCTAGCAACTTGAACTTCCAGTCCGAGGAGAGCAAGCAGAGCGATTCCTAAGAAGGAAGAAGGCGGAGAGAGGCCAACAGGCGACGAATATTCCACAACAGAATTTCATCCCACGGGCGAATAGTAAGGCACATGCTAATGCAGTTGATGCTAATCAAACTTTCCAATTGCAACCTTAGCAACAGCCGCAGCATAGCAACTTGAACTTCCAACGAGCAGAGATGGGATCCGGTTCGCTTACTACTTATTTTTTTAGGTGGGTTCTTGACCGAGTGCCGGTAGAGATAAATCGGGATCTCTATGGACTATACAACAAGGTGGAAGGTTGATGTTGCCTCTTGGTGAAGCTCATGCCTTAGAGGAAGAGTAGCTCGATCTTAAGTGAAGAAGACTAAAAGTTATTTTTTCCACTTTGGTTTGTTTGCAAACTCTTTTGTAGAAAGAAGATAACTTCAGCTAAGAGAGTAGTCACAACTTCAGCTAAGAGAGTAGTCACTCTTAGGCGTACTGTAGAACCCTATGAGAGGATAGAACTCCTTGGGGAGTGGTGGTTGCTCCTAGGGGACATGAACCCTAATGAGCAAAC